AAGTACGTACATACATATGCTCATACGTACTGTACAAATTTACAATTTTATTGTATCTATTATGCCGAATTCACAAACTTAATCGAATCGGCTGAAGTATCATTCGGTCAATTTTTATCAGATATTCCAGGAATTATGAAAATAACTGTAACATATGAACTTGAACAGGTACTCAGGTTTATTTTTGTCACTGATATATTATGTATCGCTATTGATATTACGTACTGTAGATATAATAAATAAATAATTATAGAAATTCAGTATTAACGGAAATAGTAAAAAAGGTCACTGTCCAGTTACTTTTACCAACCCGTTCCAATTAATAATTAGATATGATTAGTGTAATATCAATTATTGATAATAAAATATTATGATTAAATATAAAATGGAAACTTTATACTTTTTTAAGTAAAACTCAACACATTAAAATTACGAAATGATCTATGTTACAAACACAAAATTTAGAATTTGCTAACACATGCATCGGGTGTATTATAGCCCCGCTTTCGGACAGCCCTATAAAAAAGGATTTTACTTATTTGCGCGAGTAACACAAACCAAAAAAGGAAATCGAATTTTGTAAATAAACTAAGTGCGCAAAGATAGAAGTTTAGGGCTAGGGCGTTAACAGTATAGGCTATAGTAATAGATTGTTGCCCATTATATGCAAAATTTCGTTTCCACCATTTTTAATTAGTGCACTAAGGTCGATTTAAACTTTTTTCTTCTTTCGCGCGTGTTCGGAATTCATGTCGTGCTGACTGTAGTCAAAATTTGAGCTCCGATTGGCCATTTCCTTTTTAGGGGTTTGTATTATTCAGGATTGTGTAAAATTTGTAAATCATTATGTCATGAGAATCATTAAGAAAGTCATTATGTCATGAAATCATTATGTCATAAAGTTACTATACCGAATCAAACCAATCCAAAGTGTATCCCTCTCGCCTGTGATCAATCATAAATAAAATTATTTATGTTGGATTTAATTGTGATGGATATAATCTCTCACCAGTTTTAATATACAGTATATGTAACATTAACGGTCTCTGCTGTAGATCTGGTATAATATCGAAACATTAAAATTAAATTTTTATTTGAATACTTACCCAACATGTTTGGAGTGTTTAGTTTGTACGAAATTTATAAAAAAGACTTTCAAGGCTCCGAATATAAATTCGACTTTATAATAAATATATTACATGAATAAATGCTAATATTAAAAAAAGCTAGATATCAAAAAATCAAGATTTTAACATTTGGAGGGGAGTCAATAGAAAAGGGTCAAATTTTTCTAACCTTAAATATTTCAACTATTTAATCAAATTTAATAATTTTTTTATTTTATTTTGATTCTATATAATTCTATCAGTCTTATAATATTCGCTATAAAAAAAATCCTTTGGAACCATTCTGATTTTTTGTTTGGCAAATCGACTCCGTATTGAATATTTACAGGATGTTTATTGAATATTATACGATTTTTGTACAATAAGCATTTAATTAAACATTCTCTATTTTAACGTCCCATAATGAAACCAGTATAAGAATAAGCCCCTGTTCGAAACCATTTTGAACAATTTTAGAATAAAATTTAATATGGATTTTATATTATTCATCTGATCATAAATTTCATATTGAATCTATTATGCCGAAATCAATAACTTAACCGAATCGGTGAAAAATCATTCGGTTAATTTTTTGTCAGGTGTCTCAAAAATCATGAAAACAGCTGTAAACAATATACATTTAGTCAATGAAAACCGCACTGGTCCAATGAATTAATTATATGAAATATAGTATATGTGTTGTAAGTGGGAATTAGTGATTATAGTCAATAAAAATTTTATAAGCTGATATTCTAGATATTGTATGTAATATAAATTTATGTATGAACTTTAGTATAGATGCGCAAATATAATGATTATATAAATATAATATATAAAAACTAAATATTTTAAAAAAATATGCAAATATTTTAAATTTTATTTATAAATCTATTTATAAATAGGGATTAGAACCGTCTAAAATTTTTCTTAATCGTTTAATCATTTAACCGTTTAATTTGGCCAGAATTAAAATAATTCCAGCTCACGACCAACATAATTCCACCGTAACTATGCAACAACTTTTAAACGGTTAAACGTTATTTTTATTTGTTATATTTATGTTGATATTATATTTGTCCGCCTATATTAAAGTTATTAAATATCTTAAGGATTTACAGCTATTCTCATAAATTCTGGAAAATTTATGAAACAGCTGTAATATGAAACTAATGTGGTAACTCAGCAGTTCCATATCAAAAATCAATACCAAAATAATTTTTTTTTTAACTTAAAGACTAGTAGAAAATAGAATATAAATAAATAAAAATTCTCCATAAAAATTTCGAATCAATTTAAATTCCGCTCCACTTACTATATAATCAACAAACTGAGTTCATCTTATTTCAGCAAACTAACGAGCTGAAAAATTTTGTTTGCAACTATATAGAAGAATGACATATCCGCAAACTTCAAATCAAAATCAAAATAAGTCCATGTTCCACGCCACATTTCTTGATGGCTTTCGTGGTTTGGCAGCTTTAAGCGTTCTTTGGGCTCACAGCCAGGCCATGTATCCACGTTTGGATTTTAACACATTCGACTATATGGGATTTTATGGTGTAATCATGTTCTTTGTACTTTCCGCTTTTTTACTTACTTTTCGGTCGCTTTTGGATTGGGAAAAGTATTACGAAAAAAGAGAAGAAGAAAAAAAGGCTGATTCAGTTGTTGTAAATAGTGATCATTTTGAAAATTTTGTGGACCTTGAAACAAACTTATCAAACATTCCACTCTTGTCATCGACGAATTCTGATAAAATTGTAATGTCTTACTATTTATATTTAATTGAAATTATTTTTTAATTACTTTATAATTATTACTAATCGTTTAATAATAAATATTAGATTGAAATGTCTTCATTAGAGAAAAAGCTTGATAATTTTTTATACCATTATAATCAAAAAAAAATTTGGCTAAAATTTCAAATAAAAATAAAATTTTGGTTAAAGTTCTTTCTTCGTCGATTTATGCGTATATACCCACCATATACGGTTCTTTTACTATTTATTGCATATAACGACTTCGTAAAAAACGCATATGAATCTTTTATGGATTCCTCAACTTTACTTCATCATCTATTATTTCAAGCGGATAATAATTATATTTTTTGGACTCTTCCTATAGAATTAACGGTATTTATTTTTCTAATCGTTTTGACAATTTTGATAATTTTTTCACCAATCAAAATCAAAAAATTAATATTTCAAACGGAGCCGTTCAGTAGCATTCAACATGTCATTCAGCCTATATTTTTGTCGAATGATAGTCGAATGACAATTGAATGGTGCCATTTGACATGTCGAATTTTTTGATTTTAATGAGCGATTTCTTTATAATATATTAAAATTTATAAACCATATTTGTCACATATAGTATTATTTCTTTATACCAATAATTATCATCGTATATGTGGAGTTTGCCCGTTTTGGTGCTTTCCTTACAAACCATTACTTTAAGAAACCTGCAATTGGTGCTTGGATATGTCGAATACTTGCTAATGTTATAATTGTGACTATACGAACTAAATTATTAATTGCAAGCAGTGAGAGAGACGACGGTTTTTATAGTAACAGTTTTGTGAGCAAAATTCATATCTTTTTGACTGGATCAATATGTGCAATTTGGTATAGAGAAATAATTCGACTTGGATTGTTGCCATTGAGTTTAGAAGAAGAAAAGAATATTTTGGCTGATAATTTAAATAATATACCTACGCTTATAAGACCGAGTTTTGTTCAATTAATTATTGGCAAATTACCAAGTCGACATCAGTTTGCAAGATGGTTTTTTGATCTTGGATGTTATTTCTTAGTTTTCATTAAACTTTGTACATTGCCTCATCCAGCTGAAATAGTTTTTGGTTTACCTCGTTCTTATGATATGTTTTTAGAAAGAAAAAAACTTGGTGGCTTGCTCGACGCAATAATGATTCTTTTTGGGCTCCTCTCACGCAATGGCTCTTTTGCAAAAGCACTTTCTTGTAACTTTTTACGTTTGTGTGGACAAATTTCATTTAGTATTTATTTATTACATCCACTTGGAATGAAATTGGTGAATGAATGTGTGCCCTCAATTGGATACCATGCAGCAAATCAAGAATCAGACGCAATTGATAAGGGTAATGTGATATTGGATGCGGTGATAATGTCATATATAACAACAATTATTTTAGCATGGTTCTACTTTAAATGCGTTGAAAAGCCTTTTATGAATTTAGCTAATTATATTGCGAAGAGATGGTTATCATGAAATAATAAATTTATTAATTTTATCATGTATGTTATTAATAGTTTCTTTTAACAATATGTTTTACGATTGTATATTAACTTTAACTTTTATTCCACCTTTTAGTCATCCATATAAAAATTCTCTTTAGAAGCACATTTATTTTAAAACCAACTTTTATAACTATATAGAAAAAACCTTTATGTAAACACAACCATTTATAACTATATAGTAAACACAACTATTTATAAGCGTATTTCAAAAAAAAAGTTTAGTACATATAGTATTAGTATTATTAGAATTTTTATTAATATGTGGGAAAATGACAATTTTACTAAAAAAATTTTTTTTGAGCATAACTAGTGATGTGCCGCCGCGTACAGTACTGTACGTACTATACGTACGTACTGTACGTACTGTACGCGAGAATTTTTGCCGATCATTTTATA